AAATGAAATCTGGTATGTAAAGAGAAAAAATACGCGATAAGTGAAACCCCGCCCCCCCCCCCCCCCCCCGCGGACGCCAACCCCCAACACCCCAAGCCGACCCCCAACCCCCCGGCCGCTGCCTTACCTCCCGGGAATAACGAAGCGCCAAGGCCGGGAACGAGGCCGAGGCTGGCACCCTGGCTGCCACCCTGGCTGCCACCCTCACGCCGACCCCCAACCACCCCCCGCCGCTGCCTTACCTCGCGGGAATAAGGAAGCGGCGAAAGAGGCTGCGGCGGCGGGGAACGAGGCTGAGGCGGCCACAGCCACCCTGGCTGCCACCCCCCCGCCGCCCCCCCCCCCCCCCACCCCCCCCCCCCCCCCCGCCGACCCCCTCATCGCCGCTGCCTTACCTCGCAGGAATAACGAAGCGGCGAACAAGGTAAGGCAGCGGCGGCCGGGAACGAGGCGGAGGCGGCCCCAGCCACCCTGGCTGCCACCCCCATGCCGACTGCGTGGTAGGCTGCGAGGGCAGGCGGGTCAGCGTGGTCAGTACGGTCAGCAAGGGTAGGGCAGCCGGCACCCCCCGGCTCACCTATGACCGTGACGGCCGTCCCGGCCAGCAGGGTGAAGAGCGAGAAGAACAGGGCCTGGTAGGAGTCCAGGAGGTGCTGGAAGAGACCGGCCCGGTCTGCGCCGGGACACCGTCAGCAAGGCCAGGCCAGGGCCACCCCAGGCCCGCGCCAGCCCCGCCCATCTGGAGGGTGGCCTGCCAGTGTCTGCCGGCCCCAGGATGCCCAGCAGGGCCACCAGGGCAGGGGACCCGCTCAGAGTCCACCCTGCGTCCCCTCTAGGTGGGAGGTTTCCAGTGGTGACCTGGCCAGCCCAGGACGCACCTCGTGGCTGAGGAGGCAGGGAGGCAAGGAGGCCAGGATTTCAGCCTCGAGGCCCGGCCAGCTGGGGAGACCCGTGGGAACCCGAGCCATCGTCACGCTGCCCATGACAGGCGGCTCTGGCAATGGTGTCCGGGGATAAGAGGGTCAAGGGGTTTGGGAGCCAGAAATGGCTCAGGAGGGCGGGTCCCAGGAGGGGAGGACGCTGGCCAGGGCCCCCCATGAGGAGGACGCTGTGGCCGGAGTGGGGGCCGTGGGGGGTCACAGGTGGACAAGAAGCCAGGGCCTGTGGGGTCCCATGGCCACTGCGGGGACCCAGGCCCACCAAGGGCCTCAGCGGGCGCAGGCACCTAGTGACCCCGACTCTGGATAAAACACTGGGGGGGGGGGCGCAGGGGCCGGAGTTCAGTCCTCGGTACCCAAAAAAGGTGACTGTCACCTCGAGGGACACCCTGCACTTAGGACCCTCCAAGTCTGCATCTGACCACAGGTTTCCACTGACCCCTGAGACCATGCTGGCCGTCCCTGCCCCTGCCCCCCAGGACCCTCCCATGACGTCCCGTCCTGACACTCATAAGGACCAGCCCCACGGCGATCCAGCACCAGGGCCACCGTCACCGGGATGGTGAGGGCCTGGTTAGTGGCAGGGCTGGAGAAAGTCAGGGCGGTGGACAGAGGGCCCTGGCTGCCCGCCCTGGGGTCCGAGACGCCGACCGTGTAGGTGATGAAACTGGGCAGCCCCAGGGACTTCTCCTTCGCGAAGGCCACCACAGTTGGGGACCCGGACCTGACCTGGGAGAGACGTCAGGCTGCAGGGACGCTCCACAGAGCCACTGGCCGGGGGACCCAGCACATGGACAGACAAACCAACCAACAAACGAGTAATACATAAAATTTTTTAAAAACTCTGCAAAACCAAGCCAGGTGCAGTGGCCCACGCCTGTCCTCCCAGCAGCTCGGGAGGCTGAGGCAGGAGGATCGCAAGGTGGAGGCCAGCCTCAGCAGCTTAGTGAGGCCCTGAGCAACTCAGCGAGACCCTGTCTCTAAATAAAATATAAAAAGGGCTGGGGACGGTCACCACCCGGGTAGTCAACGTGAAGTCCGACTGTGGTCCCTGCGTCCGCCCCGACCCCTCTGCTCACCTCCAAGCTGTCCTGGATCTCCGCGGCCCCAAAGACCTTGACCTCGCGGCTGGACAGGTGGTTGCTCAGGAGGATCTCGGTCTGGTCAGCGTAGAGCCCAGGGCTGAAGGGCACCTCGGCCCCCACCTGCTCCACAGACGTCTGGCCCCCGGCCACCGAGGCTGTGACCACCAGGGGTGTCCTCCTCGAGCTCAAGTGCCTCAGCTGCCCGTCGGTCAGCCTATGCATGGTGACCGAGCAGAGGTACTGGCCTGCGGAGACAGGGGTGTCCTGCTTGTCCCTGTCCCCTACCTGCGCTGACACCCCACCCTGTCCCTGACTCTCCTGACCCTGCACCGTCCTGCGGGTGCGGCGGTGGCTGAAGGCCAGCCTCCTGTGGGCCCAGAAGCGACAGAGGCCTGGCCCTGGTGGCACCGCACAGGACGGACTCCCAGGAGGGCCCTGGGCC